AAAATTTGTTAAATTTATTACATGAGCTACCATATATACATAGCTTGCGCTTCAATTATTGAAAATAAAAATTAATTTGTTTAATTTAAAACTTATTTTATAAAAAAATAAAAGCATTACATGTAATTAGTTTAGTTGTATTAAAAGTTTTATAATTAATAATCAATAACTACAAAAATTTATAAAATTTTAAATAAATGCAGATTGTGACTTACCACCAAAAGCGTGAGTTCGGGCTCGTTTTTAAAAATGACGTGTCTTTAGACAAAATTAGAATTAATAGTTTTTTGAAATTGTCCTTGTATTTTTTTTTATTTTTTCGTTATAATTATTTATTTTTAATGAATAAAACGACAGTTGAAAAACTTCCAAGTGCCACCGTCAAATTATTGACAAGTTCTCAAGTAATAACCTCGGTATCAACAGCAGTTAAAGAATTATTAGAAAATTCAATTGATGCTGGCGGGAAAATAATTCAAGTTAGATTAGAAAATTATGGTTTAGATTTAATTGAAGTTAAAGATAATGGTTTAGGAGTCTCGTACGACAATGTGCAGAAAATGTTTCTACCGGGATACACATCTAAAATTAAACAATTTGAAGATTTAGGTACATAACCATTAATTTAAAATTTGTAATTTTATAAATGTACAAATGTATGATATTAATTTCTTGGTTAATTTCAGATACATTGAACACTTATGGTTTTCGAGGAGAAGCATTAGCTGCTATTTGCAAATTATCAAAAGTTTCAATTTCGACAAAAACATCAACTGATACATTAGCAATGACATACATCATCGATGAAAATGGTGTCCCACTATCTTCTAAACCTACACATTTAAATAATGGAACTTCGATTACCATCACAAACTTATTTTCTAATTTACCTGTTAGGAAATCATATTTATCGGTTAAAAAAAGATTAGGAGATGATTTAAAAAAAACAGAACAGATAGTTCAATCTCTATCTCTGATTCATCCAGAACTAAATGTTTCTTTAATACATAATAAATGTATCGTTTGGAAAAAAAATTCAGTCAAAGGATTAAAACAGTCGTTTATGCAAGTTGCCAGTTTAAAAACAGTCAGTAAAATGGATCACATAAGTAAATTAATAAATAATGTATGTACCTTAAACTGTATTTGTTATCATTATGCAGTTCATGTCATAAAAAAATTTATTTTTTATTTTCTATTTCATTTCAGATTAACATTGAATTAATTGTTCCGAAAAAAAATTTAGAAAATGTCGATGATATTTTTACAAATTCATCGAATGGAATTTATGTTTATGTTAATAAAAGGCCTGTAACATGTTCAGAATTGTCACAGGTAGGAGGTAGTAGAAAAAAATAAAAAAATAATTTCTTATTTCTGTGTTTCTAAATCGATTATTATTATTTTTCAGCCCATTCAAGAACATATTTTTTATCATTACTCGAAATTAAATTTAACATATAAATATTCAATAGTATTATTATCAATCGATATGCCTTCACAAGAAATTGATGTCAATTTAGAACCGAACAAAACAAAAATTCTTTTAAAAAATAAAATGTATTTAATTAATTGCATCGATGATATTTTATCAAATTATTATAATAATGGTAATTTTCATTGTTCAGCTCTTATCGAAGATTTAGTTAATGAATCATTTACAGTAAATAACACTAATGAAATATCACAAACTCACAATGATGATGATGAGATTTCTAAAGAACGTCAAAATAAAAAGCTTAAATTGGATGTGGATGAAATAACCGAACCTGTCGTTAAAAAAATTAATAATGATAATAATGCTAATTGTACAGAATCAGTTAATAAATGGACGGTTGAAATAATTAATGAAGATATTGATTTGCAATCATCTGAAGTAAGGGATAAAGAAGACAATAACGATCATCACATGAGTTTATGCTCTCAAATAAATAAAGAAAATTGCATTTTGACAACGGATGATGAAGTATCAAAATTAAATACCGTATTAAATGAAAAAAATTACAGAATGATCACGTCGGCAAATAGTAAAAATTGCATGACAAGACTAATAGAAAGAAACGATTTACAAAGTCAAATTTCAGAGTGTAAAATATTACCAGAATGGCCGAAAAGAGAGAATTTAAATTTAACATCGAATGATGTGGATTTGTTTTCAAACGAAGATGGTGGGAATGTGATAGAAGAAGAAAGAAATGGTAACGAGGAAAAGGAAAAAACAAAAACGGTTGAAGAAATTGTGAGGGAAATCGAAATGGATGCGGAAAAATGGAGTCGGAATGTTATGGAAGGGGGGGAAAACAAAAAAGATAGAGACATTAAAACTGATAGGGAGGATGATGTTGATAAAAATATTTTGGATTTTAACACGACAATACAAAACATAAGTAATAGAATGAGTAAAAAAGAAATGAAAGCATTTACAAAATTTGCAAGAATAATGCGTCCTAAAAGTAAGTCACCGAGAAATCGATAAACGATAAATCGATCAAACGATTATTATTGATTTTTTCCTTTTCAGTTTTAAACGAATATCCAAAATTGGCATTCACTCAGGTAGCTAATCTACTAGCTGAAAGATGGAAAGCATTGAGTCCGGCAGAAATGAAAAATTATGAAAAAATACCCGATATCGGATCCTACGGGAAAATTTTTAACGAAGAATGCGAAAGGAAAGAAAAAGCAGACGACGATAAGAAGGGAATGATAAATATAAATAAATCAAAAGATGATAATTTGAAATTACTTTTTGAAAAAATAAAAAGAAAAAATAAAATAAATCGACCGCAGCGAATGGAAAAAACTATTCCGACATCTATGAAAAAAATAAAAGATTATGTCGATGAAAATGGCGGCGACGATGGCGACGACGAGGAGTATAAAATCATTGGACAACTTAAACCGAGTGGAAATTGGTTGTATTATTTAAAGAGTAAAAAAGAAATAGGACACATTCGACACGGGGGGCTAAACGAAATTATAACACATCAGAAAATGTTATCCAACGCTACGGTACCCAGAATGATTTTAAACAAACCGATACTAATCGACGAAGAAATATTAGGGGGAGCATTATGGAGAGTTTTGATGTCGTTGACGTCATCGACGGAGGAGAAGGAAACGACAATTCGTTTGATAACTGATGACGTCATAGTTAAAAACGGATTTAAAATAGAATTGGAGAGGATAAATACAACGGATTGGATGGGTAGAATAACGGAAGTGGCATCGACGATACCTCATTATGGAATAACGGATTTGAAGGATTTACTCGTTTTATTATTGAAAAATGGAGAAGTTGCGGGTTTGGCAAATTTGAGACCGATTTCCGTCGTTAATTATTTCGCGGTATAAATTTTTATTATTATTATTATTATCGTAATCGTAATCGAAAATATTTAAATATTTATTTACTCTTTTTTCAGAGCGAATCAATACGATCAATTCAACAAATAATACCGAATCGTGAGGAAATGCAAGAAATGATAAACACTTATCATCTTTGCTTACGTCACTTACCACCGATTTGCCTTCATAAAAAAGAAATTTTTTCTCCCGTTTATGTAATGCGATAGTCAAACGAAATCAAATTTTTATTAAATTTATTTATTTATAATTATTATATTTTTTTTTTATTAAAATTATTATTATTATTATTATGGTCATTTTAAACACGATAAGATTTTTATTTGTCGGGGTTTTTAGGTATTTATTCCAGGTTTTTACCTGATTCCTTAGGGATAAATGCTCGAATTTCGTTGGCGCTATGAAATGGTATCCCGAAGAATATGGGCCGTTCCACGTGGTGCGATTTCTTGGATGGTTTCTTATTTTAAATTTCCTTTTATTGAATGTGGTGGCATGGCTCCCAGTTCTGCTCCCACGATGACTGGAATCGTTTCTGTTTTTACTCTCCCCACATCCTGGTTATTTCAGCCTTTTATCTGCTTCTTTTGCTGTGATGTTTTTTTCCGTCGATACGGATACTTCAATCAGGTTACATCGCATTATACTTCTCAGGATGATATCCGGTTTGTTGGCTGGCACAGTTCTGTCAGTGTGGATTTGTTGGTCGTAGAGAACCGCGCACGGACCCACTGTCGTATCCGGGTTTAGAATGTGGTTGTACCACTCCTTGGGTAATCCATCCATTCCATATTCTCGGCAGATGTTCCAGTGGGAATATTAACTTTATATTGTGCCTCTCCAGATATTCATGTTTTGGCAATATCGAACAACCGGAAATTAAGTGATCGATTGTTTCCAACTGTGATTTGACCAATTCGGCACGTCTTGGCGAACTTTGAGAATCACCTTCTTATGTGTTTCCGCAGTCCATGGTCTTGTGTTATTATTATTATTATTATTATTAAGTTTATTTAAAGTTAAATAGATAAATTCAAAAAAATAAATATAACGTTTTTTTTTTTAATATTTTATTTTATAATTAAAACAAAAAAAATAATAATAATAATAAATTTGGCATTTAATTGCACACTTTTAAATTTATTTTATTTTTTTTTTCAAACTAATCAATTATTATTATTATTATTATTAAAAATTTGCACCTAATTAAAATATTATAGCAAAAAAATGCATTTTTTTTTTTATTTGCCCAGCAATAAATAATTAATTTAAAACTAAATAAATAAAATTTTCTATTTATTATTATTATTATTATTATTAATAATCACCCGAAATAAATTTATCACTAACAGGAAAAAAAAATATATTTAATTACCCACTTTTATTATTAATTTATGTCGATAATAAAATAGATGACTATTATTAATATCTTTGGATCCTATTTTTTTTTAAATAAAAAATTCTAATTAATAAATTATTATTATTATTATTATTATTATTATTATTATTATTATTTAACGAGCGCGTGTGTTTGTGTGATTAACATCGATAAGTTTAAATAAACGATAAATAATTATTTTAAAAAAAAAAAAAAAAACAAATAATAATAATATAACCCATTATCATCATCGTTATCATCACAATTATTATTATTATTATTATATACAACTACGGAACATACATATATATATATTGTTATCACGAAAATTATAACATATAATGGTAACTAATTACGTAATTTATTTAATTTAAAAACGAATATAACACATCATGTTATCACTTATCATCATATCTCTTTCTCTCTCTCTCTCTCTCTCTCTTCTCCATAAATTATAATTTAATTGATTAAAAAAAAAAAAAAATTTTTTTTCTTTTGATGATGCTGTAAAGGCACTTTCATCTTCATCTTCATCTTCTTCATCTTCTTATATATAACAATTATAAAATAAACAATAATAATAATAATAATAATAAGCTTTCGTCGTGTTACATATATATAAAAAAAATTAATAATTTTAATCAAATAAAATAATCAAATAAAATAAAAATCGAATAATAATAATAATAATAATAATTTAACATTTTGTGATTTTTTTTTATTTTATTTTAAAAATTAATAAATAAATAAATAAATAAATTTCATTTCGTGATTTTATTAAAAGATGATGACGATGACGATGATGATGATTCGATATATTAATAAATACATAAATAAATAAATAAATAAAAACCCAAAAAGTCAAATAAATAAAATAAAATAAATTATCTACGTATAGAATTCTAAATTTAAATTTAAAAATGAAAACAAACAAAACAAAATTTACGGTAATTTTATTTTATTTTATTTTTATTTTTATTCTTTTAATTAAAATAAATTAATATTTAAAATAGGAGGAAGTAGGCACGTGCGTTCCCTAAATACACATTCTATTTATTTATTATTAATAATTATAAGTGTCGATCGACCACATTATTTTTTTTTATTTGGTCAATAAAAAAAAATAAAAAGCAAAAAACATACGTACGGAATCAAAAACACAAAGTTTCTCATCATCATTATCATCATCATCATCATCGCATTTTACTCTACCGGAGAGAGAGAAAGAGAAAGGGAGAGAGAGAGAGACAGAGAGAAAGAGAAGAAAACAGGAAATGTTTTCTTAACCTTTCACAAAAACATACAACATACAACATTGTTTTTACCCAGGTTCGTTTTTTTCTTCTTCTTCCAAACCCCCCCCCCACCCCCTTTAAAACATTGTTCCCCCTCCCCTTTTAAAAACAATTTTTCGCGCGGGATTTAAAATCAGTTTTCTACCATTTTATATGATGTTTATATTCGTCTGTAACCGATAATCTTTTTATAGTTTCGTATCCCAATATGATAGAAAATGAAAACGTTGCCGATTGTACTAAACGCGCCGATAAACCTTTCGTGAAAATCCTTAATTTTTCTTCCGTCCATAAAACATGGAATGTTTTCGCCATTGAACCTGTTCGTTGTACCTAAAATCGAAAAAAAAACCGAATCGAAACTTTTTTTTTTTTTTAACTTCATATATAAGTAAAGTTATCGGCTCGTTTGTTTGTTCGTTTGTTACCTGCAATCGAGCTCTTATTATATCTAATGGATTTGTTATTATAGTTGTTGTAAAACCGCCTAACGTGGCAGCAATACACTGAACAAAAAGATGAGAAATCCAAATGGGAGAAATTTTTATTATTTCGTCTGCAAAAGAAAGGAAATTCAAAATATAAATTTAAAACTAATCGAGCTCTCCCCTGGTTTAGTAAATAACTAAATATATATCGCACCCTGATAAAAATGATAAAAAGCCCACCACATTGCAGAATTTGGTACATAAGCAGCTAATGATGCTAAATAACCCCTATAAAATCCTTGTATTCCATCTTTTATGTAAATTTGAGTAACTAATTCCTTTGTTATATTTATCCATGATTTCCCTTCAATCACAACACCCAATTCGTTAATAGATGCCTAGAAAAAATATAACAAATATTCAAATAATTATAATAATTACAATTTAAATGAATTTAAATGAAAAGAATGCATATGTACCTGAACTTTAGAAGTTTTATTTTGTATTATACCTAAAACCATTAAATGCTGACTGATTATATCAAAAGGTACGACAATCGTTTGACTGACAACGCTTGCACATCCTCCTCCTATCAAAGCTCTTATTCTACAGTCTATATTTTTTTGAGCCATCATATGTCTTATTCCTTCATATGTTGATATATAAAAAACTCCAGAAACGATTTGCACGGAGCTTATCCAAAATCCTCTATATAAACCTGCTATACCTTCGAAAGCATAAATCTTTTTAAAAGCATCCACTGTACCTGAAAATTGAACCTTTCGTTATATCTCGTGTCATGTAGGATGACTTTCTATACTACAATATGTATCATTACTTGAATTCAACACATTGAAAACATTTTAAAATAGATTTTTTGGAAAAAAGAATAGACATTTGTTACCTCCATACATTTCTCCATGTTTTTGTAATTGGAGACGAGTTTTAATGACAGTTAATGGATATAAACAGCATCTTACGCTGAACGAACTTAGCATGCTAAGAGGAAAAAATTTCCTTTTGTCCATCATATCCCATTCGATTGTTTTAATAAATGGATGTGGGATATCCATATTTCCATTTTAAATCATTCAATAATAAAATAATCAAAATAAATTTTTATTTTTACTATCAAACAATTAAAAATCTTTAAAATTTCATCCATTGATAATTGATAATTAATTTTTTTTCCTTTACTCGTATTCTAAATTTTTCCCCCGGGGACACTGAGTTTAAAATGTCAATTTTAATTTACATATATATTTCAATTCACTACACAATCCTCAAGTTCTTACACATTTCTAAAATAAAATAAAAAATAATAATAAAATTTTAAAATTATAATACACATACATGTATAAGTTTTTTTTCCCATGTCATTTGTTTTTTTTTTAATATTTTTTTCAAGGTGAACATATTAAAAAAAATCTTATGTGTTTTTAATTAAAAATAAATTTAAATAAAAAAATAATAATTAATATTGTTTTGTTTATTAAATGTATTTAATTTTAATATATATATATATATATATATATATATATATATATAAATTAATGTAAATGTTTTTAAATTTTAAACGCGTTATAATAATTAATTAATAAAAAATAAAAAATTTTTTATTTTTAATTATTATTTTCAACTGTGAACCCGCAATCATTTGAGGCTATTAACCTTCGTACTATTACTGTTTAGTCAATAGTTATAGTTTTATAAAAGGTTTATAATAATTAGCAGACTACATAGAATAATGTAACTTTTTCCGGGTGAAATAATACTTTTTTTTTATTTACAAAAAAAAATCTCTTTGACTTACCTTTTAATACATTATTATTATTATTATTATTATTATTAATTTTAATAAATTTTTTTTTTTTTTTTAAATGATTACTCAGTGTGACAGTCGTATGTAGTTTTTAAATTTATTTATTTTATATAAATAAAAATTTATTATAATATCACTCAGATAAACAATTTAATTTTTTTTTTTTTTTTTTTTTATGTTGTTTTGATAATTTGGAATATGTGTATTCGGATTAATGTCATGAAAAGCAGAAGATGAATTTTTTTTATGGCGCGTTTATGAATTTGCGACGGTTTGTACTTTTGCGACAAACCATTTCTCGCGGTTTTATTGAAGTTTTTCATCATCAAGATGAAGGTTTGTTAATTCACAATTTGATTTTCTTTTTTTTCTTTTCGATTCGTTTTTATTGATTTTATGGTTTAAAAAAACAATTTTTAGTTAAATTATTATTGATTGTTCACGATGTCCATGAATTTTGGCACATTTTTTAAATTAAAAATGATTTCATAAATTAAAGTCAGTAAATGCTTATTCGTTAGGTTAAAACTTTCTCCATTTGTGATTTAATTAAATATTATTAATATTTTAAGCTTTTATTTTAATTGTGTTTAATGTTTTAATGTATTTTTTTTTTTGAACAGATCACTTTGATTTATTTGTAGATGATTGTAGATGATTGAAATTGAAATGAAATGGTGACCAGGGTTTGTGTAAATCATGGGTGCCATTAATGACATGATGAAGTTAATGAGAAAAAACAGTTTTAATCATCATAATTTGATATTTTATACATTTTTTTGTCACATTATCAAACTAAAAGGTAATTTAAATATGAATTCATTATCCTGAGTGTGTAAAAACACTTAAATAACAATAAATTGAACACATTTTATGTGCATTTTAATAAGTACAATTATGAAACTAATTTTACAAAATGGCTCCATTTTAAAATATTGTGTTATTTTATTATTTCAGGTACAACCCATGAAAATGTTTATTTTGATAAAATATTTCAAGCTTTACTCACTCAGTATTAATAGTAATAAAATGTCAGGGATTTGTTTGTTGGTAAGTCATTAAAAAAATCATTTCAGAGATTAAACAAATAATTATTATTATTAACTTTATTAAAATGATTTGAATTATTACAGGAATGATTACCATGAGATTAAATTTAATGAGGAAAATATCATTTACAATGGGTTAAATGAAAAAAGATGACAATGATGAAGAATATTAATGATAATAATATTAAAATAAAAGAAAGTAAGTCAATTTTAAACTGAGGGGGGGGAGGGAATTAATTTTACCACAAATATAAAAAAAAAATTTTTTTAATAAAACAAGAAAACTAATAATAATAATAAGAAAAAACAGTTATGAGAAAACCAATTGAAATTTTATTTAAAAATGTCATTTTATATTTTCAATGGACGTACAACCAATCAGATTTTAAATTTAAAATTTTCTTTAGTTTTTTTTTTAGTTTTTTCTTCTATTTTATGATTTACGATTTTTTTATTCTTTTGTTTCTTGATCTTATGAAAAACATCTGCGTGTTCGTATATATGAAAAAAAAACATCGCGTATAACGAGACGCACACACGCACACACACACGAGTGCAAAAAAGTAAATGTTTAACTTACGTAAGGGGGGAAAAAATAAAAAATTTTAGGTCGCGTTTGGAAATGGCCACAGAATATGAAAAAAATCAAAGGTATAACCGAATCTAGTCGTAAAATCTCACGATATTATTATTATTATTATATTCGTACATGTCATTTCCTATATAACATTATTATTATTATTATTTCTTTTTCTTTTTCAATATTAAAATATCAAAACTTTAAAACGAAATTGATTTGGATTGATTTTACATAAAAAAAAAAAATTTAAATTTTTTTTGTGTTTAAACCAAAAACAAATAAACAAACAACCAAAATTTTTGTTAAACAATTTGTTGTTTGTTTAAATTTTAATTATGTTTTTGTAAATTTTAGGGCCTTATTTATAAATTTAGTGGAATTTTGGCTGCATTGAAACGTTTTTTCCAAAAATTTATTGAAGATAATGTTGGCTGTATTGAAAGGTAAGATCATTTAAAACATTTAACTCTCTCTCTCTCTCTCATAACAATCGTTTAAACAATTTATTTTATTATTATTATTATTAATAAAAAAAAAAAAAAGAAAAAAGGAAAATGGAAGGTTTAAAAAATTATTTGTCAGTTGATTAAAATTTTTTATTAAATTTATAAATGTTAGGGTTGTCAGAAACAACAACAAAAAAAAAAATCAAACAAACAAACGGTTATAATAAATAATATTATTATTATTATTCACAATGACTTTTAAACTTCCCCTTTGTTTCACCCTTGTTTTCCCATCCCCTCACTCTCCAACTTTTTGATTTTTCATTATTGCCAATATTAAGATTTTCAATTTTTCAATCTGAGTCTCTTATTAAAATTTTATTTTCTTTCATTTTTTTTTCTTCCTCTCTTTCTCTCCCCCCCCCTCTCTCTCTCTCTCTTTTACTTTCAGTTAAACAAACGTTTTTATTATTCTGCATTGAAACGAATCAAAATGGTAATAAAAAAAAAAGAAAAAAGTTTTTGTATAAATTTTATTTTCTATTTTATTGGTAAAATTAAATTTTTAATTTTGAAAAATGTTTAGAAGACGGTAAAAAGTTTTTTTAAAAAAAAATGTCTCGATTCGACAAACAAAACAAACACCTGAAATCGTTTTTAAAAAAAAAAAAAAAAATTTTTTTTTTAAATAATTACTCGATAATAAAAGGAGGTGACTTTTTATTGAGATAGGAAATATGCATAAAAGAAAAAAAAAATTTCTTTTTTTTTTTCGTTTGTTTTTGACCACTTGTTTGTTAATTGTTTCATTCGTTGAAAGGGCAAACAGTGTCCTTTGATTAGTAATCATTTTATCTCTTATCATTAAAATCGAAAAAAAACTAACGGAAACAAACGTGTTTGTTTTGGGTGTCGTGGAAACGATTCTAAAATTTTTTTCCCCTTTTTTTGTAAGTATTTGATTAATTGAATAATTTTTATAATTATTAATATTAAGGTCGAATGAGAGAGAGAGAGAGAGAGAGAGAAGTGAGGAAAGAGAGTGAGAAAGGAAAAGAGGGAGGAAGAAAGAGAAGAGAGAGATTAAAAGAGAAACATAGGAATGAAGGAGATGTGTTGAGAGAATTAGTGTGAGATTGAGAAAGAATCAGAGAAAAAAGGCAGAAAAAGAAAAAGAGAAAGGAAGAGAGAAAGAGAGAGAGAGAGAGAGGGGTAGATAAGGGAGGAAATAGAGAGAGAGAGGTAGATAAAGGAGGAAATAGAGAGAGAGAGAGAGAGAGGAAAGAGAGATGTAGAGAAATAAAGAGAGAAAATTGTTAAGAAATGTAGAAAGAAAAGGGAGATGATAAAGAGAAGTAAAAAATAAGATTAAGACAGAAAGAAAGATGAAAAGAAATGCAAAGAAATGAAGAAAAAGAGAGAAAAAAGAGATGAAAAGAGAATCTGTGAGAGAGTGAAAGAGAGAAAGATGAAATGGGAAACTGAGAGAGGGAGGAAAAGATGAAAAGAGAAACTGTGAGAGAGAGAGAGAAATTAAAAGAGAAACTGTGAGAAAGAGAGAGAGAGAGAGAAATTAAAAGAGAAACTGAGAAAAAGTAAGGAACAATGGGAGAGAGAGAGAGTAATGCAAAGAGAGAGAAAACAAAAAACAAATTTTCTTTTAACAAAAAGGCATAATTCAAAATATATTAAATACTTGTAAAAGATTATTATTTACGATCATAATTTTCTCCCCTCCTCCCCTCGCTTTCCACCCCGTCGCACCGCCTCCCCGGGAGAAAATTTTTTTTTATTTTCGGGGGAGAGAGAAAGAAAAAAAAAATTTTTTTTTTTTTAGATCTTTATTATTTTTTATTTTAAAAACAAAGTTTTCCGATGACAGAAATATTGTTTCGAAAATTAAAGTTAAATGAAAAATGATCAGAAAAGTTCGACTAAAAGGCTCCTGGGATTAAATAAATATTAAAAAAAAAAATTTCCCCCCATTTTTTTTTTTTTTGTGAAAGTCATAAATTTAAAAAAATATGATTTTCTATTATTATTATTATTATTATTATTATTATTATTATTATTAATATAAATATATATTTTTTTCCAGTTGTAATTTAATATTTAAAAAAAACAGACGACAGGAAACGCAGGATTAAAAATTAAAATTAAAAAAAAAAAATTTATT